TCCTGCAGTGCAAAGCAGGGGTTTTGTGCAGCCACGCTCGAAAGGAGCTGAGTTCTCCACATCCAGGTGCTCGAACGTGATCCCTTCGGCGTCCCCACACTGCTCCTTCCTTTACCGCAACGGCAGCGCCAGGATCCAATGCATACGTTGCGTCTTACGTACACGTCTGCATGCAGCGATATCCCTCGTGCTCTTGTTTTCTCTTTCAAAAGTCACACTTTCCTTAAAACGGAAAGTTTAATAAAGTTTCAAAGGAAAAAAAAAAAAAAAAACGTGCTTTTTCAACCCCTTCTCCTTTGAGTCCGTTCCCAAAGCTAGCACCATGACATTTTTTTGAGCTACACGTTCATAGTCCATAAAAAAATAGTGCCTTTTTTATTTACTTAACAAGAACTTTGACGTAATCCGTGGCGATGTGCAATTTGCAGACTCTTCTCTGCTTTTCATTTGTGATTACAAGGTGCTGGAACAGGAATCTAATTTTACAACAATTCCTTACAGTGTGGATGTCCCTTTATAGTTACAGGTGCAAACTAATATGTAAAAGGACTAAAAGAGAGATACTTTTGTCTCGGGAGAATGCGGTGGAATGGGTTCTTTCATGCTAGCTCAAGCTGTTCCTCGCGCTCCGATGTCCTCCAAACCGGCGAAACGTTCGGCGTTCCGTGGCTTCTTCGTTCTTTCCTTTGCTTCTTCACCTGAATTGCGTTCCTTTCGTTTGTGATGTGACTTTTTGTTGGTGAATGAAACAGCAAGAATAGAAACTGGAAGAGCGTGTGAGCACGTCTGGTGGGGAAGGAAGAAGGGTTGTTGAGGACTGCCACAGAAAGGACGTCAGAGACAAAAAAAGCTTTGATCCCCTAGTCTTTTTTTCATCGACTCTGTGCAAATGATCCTGGTTTCACTTGTGGCTGACGTAGTCTTCTGTCGGATGAAGGATGGGCGGCAGCTTGCTGGGAAGCGTGATGAGAGGCCTGTGGTGGTGCAGTTGCTCCTGGGCCCTGATTCTCTCCGCCTGCCGCCTAAACTTCTTGGCCCGCAGGATGGCGGGGACACCCCTCCGTAGCCTCTGGGCGGCCTTTCGTTGCCACACGTCGTATTTGGAATATTTCACGGTCACGTGTTTTCTTGGGACCTCCTGTTTCAAAATAATAATAACATTAGGAAATGACTCTAGAGAAAGGTCAAAATTCTCACAGTTTCTACTGCATCATCGAAAGCACTGATGAGATTCAAAACTCTCTAAAACGTAAACTTCTTAAAACTCTCTAAGACTAAGACTTTTCGACTAATAATGTAAATGACTTTACAGATATTTTGTCAAAAATAGCCAAAAATCCTTCAACCACCAAGACAACACCCTGAGAAATTGTCTTGCCCAATTCTCATCTTCCTTAAAGGGTTAGTTCATCCAAAAATTAAAATTCTTTCATCATTTAGTTACCCTACCAAATAATCTCCTTGTTTTTTTAGTCCATACAGTGAAAGTCAGTGGGGTGCATTGTTGTTTTGGACCCCATTTACTTTCTTTGTATGGACAAAAACTGTTGAAAAATTCTTCAAAATACCTTCTTTTGTATTCCGCATAAGAAAGTCATAAAGGGTTGGAAGGACATGACGGTGAAGAAATTATGAATTTTGGGCAAACTATCTCTTAAACATATATTAAACATACTAACATAGAACAAAACTCGATGAAAACCCAAAATGGAGAATGACAAGTAAAGAGATAAAGGCAGTTCCATTTGTCCCCAATGTTCAACCACCTAGTCAACATCCAGGCCATTTTGAGAGATGCTGGTTTTGTAACCTAATCCAAGTACAGGAAAATTTCAACCTATGTATGACCTCTTCTATCATATCATTTTCCACTTGGTCAGCAGTTTTGGGGCAATACTTGCTTACTAGTTCCATACTCTGGCCTACTGTTTTCTTTAACCCACATGCTAGGATGCACAAGTTCAGCACAAAGAACAGGACGATCAAGATGGTGAGTGTGATAAAGTGCTGGAGAGTTTTTGTTGTTTCCCACGGCTAACGTACCTGTTTTAATGCAGGCATCGCCGGGATGACCTGTAGGCATGTGGCTGAAACGTCCCTCTCTGACTTGACAGGTTTAGCGCAGTACTGTTCTAGAAGAGCTAGGTTACAACTGTTAAAACAACACTCTTCCACAATCCCACGATTTTGAGAACGTCGACTATTCGACCTGCTAGTTGGTCGACCTGCGGGGATACAAAGGAAGACAATGAGTTCAAGACACTTTAGTACTGTTCTGGTTACATGTCAGACAAATTTACTCAATTCTGTCGTCATTTACTCACTCTCATTCCAAACCTGCATTCCAAACCATTATTTTGTCCATGCAATGAAAGTCACTGGGGCCTAATGCTGTTTTGGACTCCACTGACTTCTGTTGCATGGAAAGTTCCACAGAAAAAAAATATATATACAGCTTTGGAAGGACATGAGGGTGAGTAAATGTTGACAGATTTTTCTTCTTTTGGGTGAACTATCCTTTTAAACTGGTTTGCTAGCCTCCCAGCCTGGGTGATGATTTAGACGGATGGGTCAGATGATGGTTTAGATGGGTTTGGGGCTTTTGTCAACTAGTCAAGTTCGGAGAACAGCTGTCTGACCAGATAACTCTACTGGAAAATCGTGGGTAAACAACTTTAAGCTGCTTTGCTAGTTATTCCTGTTTTAAGCTAGTCTCCAAGCCCGGCCAAAGTGGCGTTTATCTGGGTGTCCAACTAGACATCCAGCATGACTAGCTGAAAAGTGGAAAAAATTGTTTTAAAACTAATACCGAAAACACCAAAATAGACCATCTGACCATCTTAACCCAGTTAAGACTAGGAAACCAGCTAGTTTGAGCTGTTATAGCAAGAAAGAGATTTCGCTCAAACTGTCTAAACAGTCACCATCAAACATGCAAACACGTTCAACAAACCCTACTAACAAGTCATTCTAAATCAAGCTACAGTGGCCTGATTCTATTGTCAAAGCAGATTTCATTATCGATTCATTGACTGGGACTGCGGTGTATAATAAAGCCCAAATCTGTGGCATAAAATGGAGTCTGTTTATTTGTTTTCTCGCCCGGACTGATTTTGTTATGCCAGCTAATTGAGCTGTTCGAAATGGTTTTCGAAGAATGCGCCGGCAACACGTTCCCAGTATCGGAAGATCGAAAGCCTACAAATAAGACAGCATGAGAGTTAAAGGGCAAAAGTCTTCGCTTCTGTTTGGATGAGTAAATGGTGGATATCCTTTGACCTTGTCCTTTGCCAGCTCAGCAGAGATAAAGAGAGCATGAAAGAGGGGAAGGGGGAGGGGTAGAATAACAGACTTGGCATGAAAGAGCAAAGATACAGGACACAGTAATGGAGGGGAGGGAGCCGGGCTGGGTAAAGGAAGGAACAATTGATTTTCAGTCAAATATACCACGAACGATTTTCTCTTCTCACAGTCGCAACGTTCTGAAAGGGAGTTCTTGATTGTAGGATGGGAAACATTGAACAAGAGTGGATCTGGTGGATAGAGGGGGGAAAATCTGCGCTGGCCCAAATTGGATAATGATCTTTCAGGGTAGTTAGGCTTCTGCGGCCAAAAGAACACAAAGGCCTTGTCTGTTTGTCAGTGTTGGCATGAGGAAGATGACAAATATTTAAAAAGTTGTGCTCTCGACCCCCTCCTTGCATTTGAGTGGTGTACAACCAGCAGATGTATCTGGATCCAGATTGTACGATCGGCAAGCATTGTATTGAACGTATTGGTTAGCATTTGTTACGCTAAACTAGTAATGAAGCTGTCTCAATCCATCCAGCCGTGTAAGAGGACAAACAACTTTTTTTTCAATTGAGTGTAGCCTGGGAACATTTCTGGAGAGGTGAATGGAATGCCACTTGGGTACTATTACTTTCCCTGGCGGAATGTGCAAGTAAACAACCAGGCCATTGTGGCCCATTTAGCATCCCTTTCATATGCAATCACAGATATCACGAGAGAATGCGCCTAGTCAGCACAATCTGCCGAGACTTCGCTCGTAACTCTGGTCATTCGTGACATACAATTGGCAAGGGTTTCCAACTCCTAAGCAAAAGCAAAGAAAATACGATGTGCAAATGTACATACTGAAATAGAAACCTCTTTCTCCACACACAAACTGTAGTGCGTCCACCAGCTCTCCTCCACATAATGTTTCAGCAGAAGCCACTTCGAAGGCAAACAGGGTTAAAAACAGTATGCATATGGGCATCCGTATGGACCAGTACATCTTTATGACCTGTGGAGATAACGAGTTAAAGTTAGTACAGACAGTTTTAACATGTGCATTTCATTTTTAATGTACAAAGCTGCTCTTTTTATAAAGATCCCATGTATACCTGAACGTACTGTAAAACTGAACGTCATCCTTAAGGAAATATTTTTAGCTTCCTCAAGGTATTGAATTCAGTAAGGCAATACTTCAGTGTGTGTGCATGCATGGCCATCGACTTTTCAATTATCTGCCTGATCACATGGGCAAAATCAGTATGTCAATGAACAGTATGGAAAAGCATGTCTTCATGACCTGGAACGCATGCATAGTAGTTCACAACAGAGATTTGATCAAAGTATTGAATGCATTATTTGTGCATGCATGTTTTTCTAGTAAGTCTTAACAGCAAATAAAAGGATTTTAGAGTCTAAATATATTTTGATTAGTAATACTGAACATTTTCAATTTAAATTGCAGTGTTGTTGGTCAGATCTTGAAGAACTGTTATTTGTTTCTTCAGTGCATTCCTATGCAGTTCTTAATATGCATGCATGAACACATTGTACTTTTTCAATTATGCATGTAATTTTTCACTAAAAAAGATGATGCTTTAAGGTCTAAAAACCCGCTGATCAGTTATCCTCAACATCTTCCTTGGGTATCTGTCATTAGTTCCTCCAGTGAATTAAATTCGCCAATGCAATTCTTCACTGGGATTCTACATGCATGCATCGACTTTTTAATTATCTGCTTAACGCTAGAAGATGAATTGTTATCAAAGAGCTTGTATCTCCTCCTTTACACACTTACACAACGTTCAACAAGTTGCAAGACCGCTCAATAAACCCAGCTATCTCATTCCTCACAACTCAGCATATAATTTCCTTAAATCCAGGTCATTTCAAGTGCTGTCGCCCCCTTGCGCAACTTCTTTCTCGTGTTCGCGTATCCGGAATAAAGTGTCAAATCCGTTTTTATTTGGAAAGCGCTTTTCAAAATACACATTGCTTCAAAACAGCTTTACAGAAATTCATAGGGTTAATGTTTACAATGCCTTATGGACCTTATTTCGCAGTTTAGCGCTGTCAAACTGGCTGTTTAGAGCTGTTAGCAGTTTAGAGTGGCAAAACAGATCTCCACTGCATTACGCGATCCGCTCGTGCAAGAGAAAATGTGTCTCAAAATCTCTCCGATCGTGTCCATTTCTGATTTTTAAAATACGATTCTATATTTGCTAGTCTATAAAAACGATTTCTTTTTCTATTTAAGAGAATGTAACTAATGCATCTCCAGATATGTCCAAGATTCCCCAAAGGTTGTAAAAAGATTGTCTTTACCTTATTTATGGAACTGTCTGTTCTCAAGCAGGTATGGCAAACAGCATGATGTTTCAGTTGGTCCTCCATGTCAACATAAAAAAAATAAAATTAAAATTAAAAAAATTGCTGTGTTGTTGTATTTGGTTAAGAAAGTCGGTTTAGTTTCCCCAGTTGGTGTTAGGATGACCTTATTAAAATGTCCAACATTTTCGATGCTTTCCTAAAATGTAACGACGTTATTCCCCCAAATTATATTAACAACATCTAAACCAATTCATAAATAAATAAATGTGCAATAAAACAATAAATAAATAAGAAAATAATAAATAGGCCTACTCTAATTTAAAACAAACAAACAAACAAAAGTTCAATATTTCGGAAACGCCCACACGACATCAATATCAGAGCATTTATAACTAGCCTACCAGAGTTCCTGACAGGACAGTCGATGTGTAACATTTTACAATGGAAAGTGCCCCGGATGATAAGGAGAGAAGATGAAACGCTTTCTGCCGTCATTTCCTCTGATATCCACCTGCCTTATCGATCCTCGCGCGAATAGTGGCTGTAATGATGGTAATTCACTTTACAGGCTGACCCGTTCAGAGCACTGAGAGGATAATGAAGAATTAGCTGGACTTGAATTGAACTTAAATTGGCTTGATTGAATTACTTGGAAATGTCATCCATCACCTGGCAAAGCAATAAGGGCCGTTATTTGATGCAGATGTTATTCTTCATGGACACTAGTCTCCATCTGATATGAAATGCAGGGCCGAAATGTCTACTACTGCCTTACTAGAACACCTCTTAAAATGGTTTTAAATCAGCATTGTCATGTGAGCAACAAATGCATGCATATGAATTGTTTATCGTTTTGAATGTCATTTAATTCAGATTAAAGTAGGTTATTGTTATTAAGCAAGTAGCCTACGTGCTCGGATAGGCCAATGAATATTCGATGAAAACTCATTTTAGGACTAGAAATCTTAATTTTCCATTTTTAAGTTAAAACTGCTAAATAAGCCAAGAAGTTAATAAGTAGGCCAAGTAGTTAAACAAGCCAAACACGAGAATGACTTATTTTAAAGGCAGGGTATGTGATTTTTCAAAAACACTTTAGAAAACTGATTCGTGCCGAATCGCAAAACAAACTTGTAGCCAATCAGCAATAAGGGGCGTGTCTACTCGTGATGTGGAGGGGAGAGCTTTCAGTGCATGGGACGGACATTAGCCGAGCCGAGCGACAGAAAGATAGAGATGGCGGATAAAAAACAAAAGAGGAAAACGTCTGCGGAAGGATAAGGCAAGAAGTAGGACCCGTGTAAATATCGGATCAGCTTTCCAGCGCTGGAGAGAACTCAAGGAGCGGAGGCCTGCGATCGGACGCCGAGGTTGCTATGTTTCTTCTCAGTAGGTGAGTAACACCGTGTCTACAACAGCTAAAGTCTGCCTACACTGGACGCGATCAAACGACCGTTGAAAACCATTTGAAATTTGTGTCAGCACGTCATAAATAGAACCTGGCAGCAGTTTTCTGTCGGGATTTGTTGAGCCGCGCCGCTTACGTCCGTAGACACGGTGTAACATTGGTTTTGCTTTGTTTCACAGAACTAATCGTTGCCTGGGTTGCGTACGTATGTGTGGGGCGGAGCTATCAAAATAGGGGCAAGACCCTTTTGGGGTAGGGGCGTGTTTGTTTTGGTGATTTCAAATATCAACATTGGCTACCAGAAATCCCTTACTCTGCCTTTAAGAGAACTGGAGAAAAGAATTGCTCCTGTGGCGCCTCTGCTGGTAAAAGCGCGAATAGCGCTGCATAAACAAAAAAGGATCCTGCTGCTGGCATGAATTATCAATGCACTCTGTTACTGGAAGCACCATTATAAAGACATTAAACCTCTCTTCCTCTGTCTCCTATTATCCATCAGATGAGGGAAGCAGGAAACCCAAAAGATCTGTAGGGCCTTGCAATAAATCATTTATCTTCAATCAATCATATTTCATCTTAGTCACATTGCCATGCGCAATAATGGATAGAACTGCGCGTGATACAGGACCAAGCAGTCCAGCACAAATCGTTACAGGTCATCGATAAAAAGCCCAGGAGACTTTATGTAGGCTACAGTCAGCGATATCTAATATTTAGCATGAATGGCTTTTTGTTTTAAACTCAGTGACCTCAATTTAATGGTCAAAATTATGTAAACTACAATCTTCAGGAATATCTCAGTCTTAGTTAGAGGAATATCCTACACCTACTGGTTTACTACATGACGCACTGTGGGATTCTTCCCGTCTTCGTAAAATGCATTTAGTGGTCGGTTGCGTATTCGAATGGCAGATCTTTCCCACTGACTGGATCCAAAATCTGAGTCCTTATCCCATTCCTAACCTCATGACATGACCCTTACAATAGCCCTAGTCATTATGCTGTCCGGTCCACTCACCCAAAAAGTGCTGGTGTTGAACGCCTCACCTACATACATGCTTAGACTACCATCTGGTGGTGGCTGTTTTATCTCAAATAAACCTTTTGTAGTTTCAGTCAGATCAGTTCATTCAGATTGTCTTCAGTTTTCTGAAACCAACATTCTCAGACTGTAAAAGGCATTTATGGAAGGGGCGACTGAATATAACGTCAGAAAGTCAACAACAAGTATAGTTTGCGATATTTTTCAAAGATAATTCTTTATAGTAGAACATAATATCCACTTTGCACAGAGTTTTCTTGCAACTTAATAGAAATGGTATTTTCACTTTTTATGCAATTGTTTGCAGAGACTATTGCAACATTCATATTTTCTGGAGACAGATAAATATAAACAGGCACCAATCATTAGGCCAGAATTATTTTATGAATGATTCGCCATTCAGTATTAATAAAATATTTCTGCTATCTGTAGGAGGATACATCAGCTCAATGTATTGATGGTCTATTTTTAGAATATATTTCGCATACTAATAAATTCAGAATTTGTATTGATAATACATATTTGATTATATACTGTACATATTTCAAGTTTATTTTAGTGTAGTACTTCATTTTGTGATATTTCATAAATAACTTTTGGCTTCAATAGCTTTAATAACTTGATTTACACTGGGTATGATCTATCTCAAAAAATGAATATGTCATATTGACATAATCTCTGTTTATTCACAGAGTCATCCTCATGTCATTATTTGCTCACCCTCATGTTCATTCCAAACCTGTATGACTTTCTTTCTTCTGTGGAACATGAAAGAAGATATTTTGAAGAATGTTGGTAACCAAACAGTTTTGGTTTCCATTGACTTCCATTTTTTATTTTATTTTTTGTCCATACAGTGGAAGTTAATGGAGCCAAAACTGTTTGGTTACCAACATTTAAAATATATACTAAGAAGACATTTTGAAGACTGTTGGCAACCAAACCGTTTCAGTTCCCACTGACTTTTTATTTATTTATTTAGCCCATATAATGGAAGTCAACGGGAATATTTAATACCAATATTTAAAATATCTACCAAGAAGATATTTTGAAGAATGTTTGCAACCAAAGGTTTTGGTTACCATTGACTTCCACTTTTTTTTTTTTTTTGGCCATTTGGTGGAAATCAGTGAGAATAAAAACTGTTTGGTTTCCAACATTTAAAATATTTTCTTGGTAAAAATTTTGAAGAACTTTGGCAACTAAACCGTTTTGGTTTCCATTGACTTCCATTATATTTTTTTTGTCCATACGACTGTTGGCAACCAAACCGTTTCAGTTCCCACTGACTTTTTATTTATTTATTTAGCCCATATAATGGAAGTCAACGGGAATATTTAATACCAATATTTAAAATATCTAACAAGAAGATATTTTGAAGAATGTTTGCAACCAAAGGTTTTTGTTACCATTGACTTCCACTTTTTTTTTTTTTTGGCCATTTGGTGGAAATCAGTGAGAATAAAAACTGTTTGGTTTCCAACATTTAAAATATTTTCTTGGTATAAATTTTGAAGAACTTTGGCAACTAAACCGTTTTGGTTTCCATTGACTTCCATTATATATTTTTTGTCCATACAATGTAAGTCAATGCATGTGAACCGGAATTGTTTGGTTACCAGCATTTAAAATATCTATCAAGAATATATTTTGAAGAATGTTGAAAACCAAACAGTTTCGGCTTCCATTGACTTTCACCATATTTTTTGTCTATACAATGAAAGTCAATGGTAACCGCAACTGTTTGGTTTCCAACATTTATTATTTTTTACCAAAGACTTTCTTTCATCCGTGGAACATGACGGAAGATATTTTGAAGAATATTGGTAACCAATCAGTTTTGGTTACCATTGACTTCCATTATATGACTTCCAATGGGAATCAAAACATTCATCAAAATATCTTCTTTCATGTTCCACAGAAGAAAGAAAGTCATTTAGGTTTGAAACAACATAGATAATGATATAAATGATAACATGATTTTCATTTTGGGGGGGGAACAGTTCTTTTAAGGTTTCTGGAATCAACTTCCGACGTGAGGTTTTGAGGTTGGCACTCAGCGTTTTAAAAGCAACAACGTCTGTAGCAGCAGATGTGGACATAGACACACAGCATATCGATGAGACTGTCACATATGAAGCAGAGAGGAATGGGACTGCTGATTGGCTCCTCGCGGCAGAATCAAGCCAACACATTCAGGGCATCTGTGAGAATCTTCAGTTCGTCTTTAATGGTCTCCAGCCCCTGCTGGATCTTCAGTGGGTTGTCCAGCACTTCTATGCTGGCTGTGTACGGGTCAAACCGCACCGAAAATGGTCTCATGATGCGGGTCACATATGCTCTGTTTTAAAAACAAATGAGTATAATTATTGTCATACAAACAACTGTAATTATTAAATTGCAAACAATTAAAACAATATGTATACAATAAAATCCATTTATTAATCACTACTTGCTGTATTTGTAAGGCGTATTTTAATCTTTGTGAAATACATACTGAAAATGTTAATAGAGTAATATGAGTTAGTAAATAAATAAATACATAGGTAGTTATGTAGTCCTGTGGTGTGACATGCTTTGTGCATTCTAAAACTATTTTAAATAAAAGCAATTCATATTAATTTAAAGACTACACGGAATTAATAATTAAATCATATTTCGTCTCACTACAAGACTATTTCAAATGAATCAGAAAAATGACAATTGCCCCTAGATATTCTTGCATATTTTAACCAAAAAATTATTACAAAGATGTTATGCATCAAATAAATAAAAAATAATAATGAAAAACTAAAATGCTAATGCATTTATTTTATTGGTGAGCATTTGTTTATTTTGTATATATTTCTGTTTTTTTTTTCATTTGTTTAGACACAATTGTATCTGTTCTGAGAATGTAATTGTACGCATTTATATGTTTTTGTCATCATACATCCATTATATAAAATAGCTTACAGTAGCTTTTTAGTCATTTTAGCACCTTTTATTTTATGAATAAATAAATGTATGAATTAATTCAGTCTGAGAACAACTGTTTGCTGTATGTTTTAATCATCATACATACATTATACAAAATTGCTAACAGTACCTTTTTAGCCATGATGTATTTTAATCCTTATCATATGTGTTTTGACTCAAATTTTTAAGAATAATTTTTATTATTTTCATTTATTCATTCATTATGAGAATATGCAATTGTATGCTGTTATAAGTTTAATAAATAAATTCATTCATTAATTCATTCTGAGAATATAATTGTGTTGTATATGTTTTAATCCTCATACATTTTTATTTTAGCACTTTGAAAAAATACAGTTGTAATTATTTAATTGTAAATAATTATCATAAGTGAGTGTTTTAATCCTTGTCAATGTGTTTTACTATTTTTTTTAATATTTATTTATTTATTTATTTATAAATGCATTTATTTAGAAACACTTTTTTAATGTATTTATTTTCACTGATAGCTAATTATCTGATGGCCAAACACACAGTACTGACAGCAATAGAGTATTTGATGCAGCTCGCCTCAGTTTCTCTGTAGCATCTGAGAAGCTCTCAGACACAAAATAGACGGGCTGGTAAGTCTGATCCTGGTACGGCTGAACAGCTACAGTGTCCGGGTCAAATTCTCGTCGCTCTGGCTCATCTGAGAGAGAATGCTAAGAAAATGGGTGACATTAAATGTCAAGTGCAAGTGCTAAAAAACAGCAAAACACTTTTTTTTTTTATTTAATAAATGACAGACTGCCGCCTACCACCAGCTCGCCATAAGATGAGAGCAGTCCTGCTCCGTACGCTTTGACCGCCCCTCCCTGCTTGCACAGTCCAAACTCCACCGTGAACCAGTACAGCTGAAAACATACAGCACAACAAACACATCCAGTGCTTTTAGTAGAGCAGAGTTTGATAAAGCTTGTTTGATAAAGATGTTTTGTACTCACTGTTGACAGTTTCTCAATATCTTCATCAGAAGCTCCAAGAGAGGCCAGACCAATGTTCTGAGAGAACCGATTTCACAATATAGATTGAATATGTAAGGAAATATGAGATATGTACATTGACATTTTTACCTGAGAAAACTGTGCAAATGTTCTGTCAGCCAATATCGGTACATGTCCGAGAAGTTCATGGACACAATCCCTGGAAAGGAAAACATAAAATTACTGTGATTATCTGTGACCATCATTTTCATAGAGTGAATATTACTTTTCACATGTGGGTATGTAATTTTACACTGTGTATGTTTTTATTATATAAAAAAATGCTTCCCTTGTGAAAAAGAAGTGCACCTAGCTGTAATGAATGTGCACAGAGAGAGAGAGAGAGAGAGAGAGCAACTCACTACCAGATGGTTGCCAGGCTGTTGCTATGCAGTTGCCTGGGTGATTGCTATGACGTTGCTATGCTGGTGTTTTGAGGTGGTTACTATGGTAGTGCTATACCATTCCTACAGTGTTCTGAGTGGTTGCTAGGGTGTTATGGGTGGTTGCCAGGGTGTTGCCATGTGGTTGCTCGGGTGTTCTAGGTGATTTCTATGACACTGCTATGCAGGTGTTCTGAGAGGTTACTATGGCAGTGCTCTACCATTCCTACGGTGTTCTGAGTGGTTGCTAGGGTGTTGCTATGTGGTTGCTCGGGTGTTCTAGGTGATTGCTATGACACTGCTATGCAGGTGTTCTGAGTGGTTACTATGGCATTGCTACATTTTTCCGTTGGTGGTTACTGAGATGTTTGGGGTGGTTGCTAGGGTTTTGCTATGAGGATGTTCTGAAAGGTCACAACAAGTTTGTTCTAAGTGGTTGCTATGGCATTACTTGGTGGTTGCTAGTGCAGAGCTGTGGGGTAGTTGCCAGTTTATTAGTATGTAGTTGCTGTGTGGTTGCTGTGGCAAGGCTTTGAGGTTGTTAAGACGTTCTAGGTGGTTGCCAGGGTGTTGCTATGCAGTTTCTAGTGTATTCTAGGTGATTGCTGTGACACTGCTATGCAGGTGTTCTGAGTGGTTATTCCAATGTAGTTCCTATAGTGTTCTGGGAGGTTGATGCTCAGGGTGGCATGGTGGTTGCTAGGGCATTGCTATGAGGATATTCTAGGTAGTTGTTTTGGGCTATGAGGTGTCAAGGGTGTTCTAGGTGGTTGCTACAGCATTACAATGTGGTTGCTAGTGCATGTTATTGGGGTTGCTAAGGTGTTATGAATGGTTGCCAGTGTGTTACTGTAGGATGAAGTTGCTGAGTTGCTGTGGTATAGCTTTCAGGTCTGCTAAGGTGCTATAGGTGGTTGTTTGGGTATTCAGGGTGGTTTCCAGAGTGTTGGTATGTGGTTGCTAGGGTGTTCTCGATGATTCGTTTGACATTGCTTTGCAGGTTTTCTGAGCAATTACTATTGCATTGCTATTCAGTTCATAGGCTGTTTTAAATGGTTCCTAAGAATTTCAGGATGGGTTGCTATGGCGTTGCTATGTTTATGTTCTTGGTGGTTGGTAAGGGCTATTGGTAGCTAGGCTGTTGGTATGTAGTTGCTAGGTAGTTACTAAAGTGTTCTGGGTGGTTGCCAAGGTGTTATATGAGGTTGCTAAGGTGTTCTATGTAATTGCTAAGGTGTTCAGGGTGGTTGCCAGGGTAGTACTGTAGAAAAAAGTTGCTGAGTGGTTGCTGTGGCATGGCTATCAGGTGTTCTAGGTGGTTGTTAGGGTGTTGGTATGGTTACTAAAGTGTTCTGGGTGGTTGCCAAGGTGTTATATGAGGTTGCTAAGGTGTTCTATATCATTGCTAAGGTGTTCAGGGTGGTTGCCAGGGTAGTACTGTAGAAAAAAGTTGATGAGTGGATGCTGTGGATTGGTTGTAAGGATGCTAAGGTGTTCTAGGTGGTTGCTAGCATATTCTGGGTGGTTACTAGGGTGTTGGTACACAGTTGAAGGGTGGTTGCTGTGCAATGGGTATGAGGTTGCTAAGATGTTATATGTGGTTGCTAAGGTATTTTGGGTGGTTGTCAAATGTTCTGAGAGGTTTTATTATACTGCTACTATTTTCTGTTACTTTTCTGTTACTGGCAGTACTGAAGAACATTTCTAGTAACAAACATGATTTGTTATAATAAATAGAATGTTGAATGACTTACGGGTTGTGCTGTTTTCTGGCTGTGCTATAATCGGATTGGTACCTTTTAAGAAGCGGGACACATCCTCCAGCTGAGGGATGTTATCAGGACTGTAGCCACAGTGTTTCTCCAGTAAGTGGAAAGCCTCTAAATGTTCACTACAGGCATGGGTGGTGTACAGATCTCTGAGGGTGGAGTAAACCTCACGCCTGCACACACATTAGGTTGCATGTGAGAAGCATGAATGAAAAACACAATTTGAGGATCTCTGGCTGGGTTTCGTCAAGGATTGTTTGTTTATTTTAGTACAACGCACCATGTTTCGATCTCCTCTTCCATATACTCCACTCTGGGAATCGGTTCTCCTCTGGAAAAAGAGACAGCTGTCAATGAAATATCTGCCAACATGTCCAGACAAGCAAATACTGCATGGTAAACACGATTGCAACATACTGTTTGTATTTGAAGGCAATGTCTCCAATCATCTTCCGTCGTTTTCTGTAAACGGGGTCAGTAAATCCCTGTAAAATGAACCAAAAATATCAAAAGTGATTGTTATAAAAAACATTTTGAGGCTGTTTAACTCTTTCTCCACCAGTGACAGAATTTTCCAGCTTTTTGTGTTTTCACTGTTATATGGAAGGAGGCGCTATTACACATCTTATGAAAGAGTACGTCTCGGTTATGTACGTAACCCTCGTTGATCGACATTATGGGGCCCTGGAAAGCGCCACAACCTGAACCCCATCACAACCCCATGGCGTAGCCAATGTTGGCAAGCACAAATTCGCTGACATTTGGAAAACCCACAGGGACCACAGGTGAATACATCGCTGCTGGAGATAGCCAAGCCGCTGTTCCTTTCCCACAGAAATTTCTTAACAGAAGGGATTTTGACCTTCAATGAAAGATTTGCTTCAAGTCTTTCCGATTTGATGTTTACAGCTTAGGCAGAACGATGGGGAAGCGAGCCTTCCGGAGAAGGGCGCCACTCCCCGTGCATACGGGTATAAATAGGCGACAGGTGCATCCACTCTTCAGGTTTTACGCTGAGGAGCCGAGAACATGTCCCTGGCCACCAGCGATGGTTCGAGGTTGTGGCAAGGGGACATAACGTCTCCGTTCCCA